ATACATGGAGGACACATTGATAAATTGGTCTCATGGTTTATGCATCTATAACTAATTTAGAGAAATGATCAACAACAATTGTTTTGCAATCCTGCTGATGAACACCAAAGACACGCTCTGCCCAAGCTCCGTGAATAGTCAGATATGGGGAGATGCGTTAAGAGGCTGCTTCAGATGGTGCCATATGAGGAACTAAAATGGGCAACAAGCATCAGGGTGGCAGAAAAAATGTTTTGAATACTGAATATGCACAGCTTCATTTATCCAGCAAATACTTATTGAGTGCTCAGTGTGTACGAGAATTGGGGATGACATGGAGAGAGAAACACTGCCCTTGTTCCCAGAGTTTAGTGAGAATAAAGGTCAGCGTGGCAGACTATCAGCTGACCACCAAGCCCATTCTTCTCTCTGGTGTGCATGAACTGCATCTCCTAGCTTCCTGTGTGGTCGGTTAGCTATGGCCATGTACTATGTCTTAGCCAATGGGACGTGAATAGGAGTGATGGTTGTCATTTCAAGGCCTGATGTATAAAGCCTCCCATGTAAGATCCTCCATGATCTTCCCTCATGTACTATCAGATATTATGATGCAGGGAGGCATAGAAGCCCACGAATGAAAGGTGATAGAACTGCCAGAAACCTGGGTTCTTGAATGACTGTGTCATTCCAGCTACTGGATCACAGAATGAATTTGAATTTCATTTCTCTCACTGAGATGGCTCTACTTTTGTCCCTATCTGCAGCAATTCCTTCGGTAACCTATTTTAAAATTTTTGTAGTGTGATGTACTTTTAAAGTAACCTCATCTCCTTTTTATTTATTTTTTTTTTAATTTTTTTTCAACGTTTATTTATTTTTGGGACAGAGAGAGACAGAGCATGAATGGGGGAGGGGCAGAGAGAGAGGGAGACACAGAATCGGAAACAGGCTCCAGGCTCTGAGCCATCAGCCCAGAGCCCGACGCGGGGCTCGAACTCACGGACCGCGAGATCGTGACCTGGCTGAAGTCGGACCGCGAGATCGTGACCTGGCTGAAGTCGGACGCTTAACCGACTGCGCCACCCAGGCGCCCCACTCATCTCCTTTTTAAAACAAGGCAAGGAAAAATTGCATAGAAGGATAGAAACGACTAGTCATAAGTAATCTTTGGATACTGTGAAATACTGAGAGATAGGTGTTTCTCCTAATTAATAGAGGAAGAGGTGAAAGCAAAAGGGAGAAAGAAGGAGAAAGAGAAGAAAGACTCTATCCAGTTTTTGAGAAATCCTCAGAAGGACGAAAAGAAGGATCTCTTTACTCTGGGACTCAATTCCTCATGTAGGAGAGAGTGAAGCTTTTATTGTTGGTGGCAGTCTATTATCTCACCTCCCACAGACCAGTATCATTCATTCTTCTTCCTTCCTTCCTTCTTCCCTCCCTCCCTCCCTCCCTCCCTCCCTTCCTTCCTTCCTCCCTTCCTCCCTTGCTTCCTTCCTTCCTTCCTTCCTTCCTCCCTCCTTTCCTTCTCCCTCCCCTCTCATTCTGAGACCTAACCTCCGCAGAATTCACTGAGTGATTACATAAGTGAAAGCAGAAAGGAATGGTTTTAAAGTGGTGATATGATAACAATGGTGGTAATAATGATGAAGAAAAAGAACTAAGAGGTAATCATCAGAGACCTTTGTATTTATTTGTAGGCAATATTGCTGTTACCTAGAAATCTCAGTCTAATAAGCAACTGCCAATCACATTTTAAAATACCTCTTACTTACAAGCAATGGACACTTTCCCCAGCCAGCGATTGCCCACACTGACCATTTGCTCCACGTGATTTAATTCTGTCAGGAATCAGTGGAATCCTGATGACATGGGATAACTTGACTGAGAAATTTCATGTGGATTAAAATGACTGATTAAATTTCTTTCCTGGAGAATCAGAAAATAATGTGACATAAATCCTAGCTCACTGCAAGTTTACTGCAGGGAAAGGAGAATTCATTCATTCCACTGCATCTGCATGTTGTTCTTGGACCACGTGAGAGGAGGAACACTGACTGCCCCAGGCTCACATGCCACCTTGATCTTTGTGTCACTGTGTCTCTTGCCTGGCATATATATCAGTGCAGCTTTATGCTTCCTCTCACAGGCCTGCAGAGTTTGTTGAGGGCTGGATGTGTGCCAATAA